TTTTTTCTTCTGTTTTTTTCTATCGTCACGATTAGCTACCGCCCCCCCCCCCCGCTATATATACCCGTACATTCGGAATATACACGCACGAGGAGGCTCGAAAAGTACACGTCCTCGCTGTTCTTCGTATCCGGCGGGTCGCCGTTTCCGGCAGCGGTTCTTTCTGCCGGGGGGGCTACATCGAAAACTAGCCTACTAAGCGTCGAACGACCCCCACACCCCTCTCCGCGAGCCACTCTGCCGCGATGCAGTCGCTCGAAACGAATGTTTCCTACGGTTTCGCCGTTTCGAAACTTGTTCGACGGCCGTTCTCTTGAAGTTATTTGATAGAGATGCACGTTTAATAATGATACGTTTATTCTGTGTCGTTAAAATGACTCATTTTCTTTTTTAATTTTTAATTTAATTGATTATATGTGTCGACGTGGACGCGATAATTCGTTTCGAATAATTTGATTGCTAAGTGTTTTAAAAGGAAGTTTATGTTTGTATGAAACGTGAAATGGAATTTTGTGAATATCATTTTCCAGATAAAAAATAGCAATCTCTTATAAATTTTATACTTTATTATTTTATACCGCCTTCTGGATTGGAGAATTTTTTGATGTATTGCCGGGTAGTTAAAGCAATAATTAAGTGTAACTCTAAAATTTGTTTAATTTTGTTATTTTACACCACCCTCCGGTTTGGGGAACTTTTTGATATATTGCCGGGTAGTTGAAGCAACAATTAGACTTAATTTAATCTAATTAATTAATAATATATTAATATATCATATATAAAATATAGCAATATATCAGAAAATTCTCCAAACCGAAGGGTGCTATAAAATAACAAAATTTTAAAAATTATAAAATAGTATTTATTCTATAAAAATATTATAAAAGTAGACTTAATAGTTGCTTTAATAACTCCGCAATATATCAAAAAAATTCCCCAAACCAGAGGGTGGTATAAAATCACAAAATTAAAAAAATTAAAAAATTAGACTCAATTGTTGCTTCAATAACTCCGCAATACATCAAAAAATCCTCGAAACCAGAGGGTGGTATAAAATAACAAAATTTAAGAAATTAAAACAGTAGACTTAATCGTTGCTTCAACCACTCGGCGATATATCAAAAAATCCCCCGAGCCAGAGGATGTTAATAAAATATAAAAAATAATAAAGTATAAAATAAAAAATATTCCCCTCTGAATCCAGCGTACACGTTGGACAAAGGGTAGACGGTACAAAGTAACGCGGAGAGGGGTAGTTTAATTTAACCAATCGTCCCTGTTGAATCGACTCGATCGCGATCAAAGCACCCCCCTCGACCAAGAGAATCGCTGCCGGTGACCAATTGTGTAAGTGCGTCTCATCGAACGTTTGTCGTGCACTTCGTCCACGAGTTTCTCCGCCGTGTTCTCGTCGCGTGAGAGTTTCGTCCACTCGAACCGTTCTCTCGATTGTTCGGGGCCGAAGTTTGGAAAAACTTTCGCTGAGACGATCTCACTCGTGGGGTGCTCGTTACGAGTTCTCGTCCGGAAGAAACGTAGGGGGCGAACCGGCGAAAGGATCCTTATAGCGATAGTCGACCTTCTAAAGAGACACCGGCCGAGCCGTGGCTTCTCCTTCGACTTGACCGAGGTAAGGACACTTATTGTTTGATGGGAAAACGTCGAAGTTGCTGGGAGCCCGCTGGTTTTGTTAACGTGTCGCGCACGGATCGCCAGCAATGGTCGTCGTCGTGATTCCGTGCTAACGAATCTGGAAGAGGACGACGAATAATTCTGTGAGGATGGAAAATTCGGGGTCGCGGCTTTTCTAAAAATTTTGGATTATAATTTGGTGGATGTTGCGCTTTGTAATTATCGGATTTCGCGGATCTTTGCGCTTTTACTTTGTGCGCGAGAAATAATTGGAATCGACGAGAATTAATGCGAATTAATGATAATTGGTAGTATTTTTATTGTAGTTTTAATTTTTTATTTTTATTCTTTTCGTTCACCTAGGAAATGTAATTATAATTATGATTATATTAATATAACTATATTAATATATTATATATATTAATATTTTATATATAATAATAATAATAATAATATATAATATTATATATATATATAATATTAATATAACTATATTATATATATTGCATATATGATTATATAATTATATAAATGTAATTATAATTTGCACGACGACAAGCAGCACAGTAATTACAATTGGGTAGTTTAAAAAATACCAGCTCTTGTTTCGAACAAATAATAATTCACGTATCTTTCGACCTCACAGATTTAACGTGACTTTTCGAAGCGACTGTCCTCTTTCAGCGATCAATATCTTTCATTAATCATTAATTTGTGTTACTCGTATTGTTCTTGCATATCGTTCGATCATTTATTTAATAATGCTTTTTGTATGAACTAGTTTCTTCTTTTGCTGAAAGCCAAGTACTGTATTTTTTAAAAAGAACTCGGCGATCTGATTACCTTTCAACTAAATTATTCATAATAATTGAACCGAATCATTGGTAATATTTCATTCGAATCGTTGAAATGATATTTAAACTAAAATAAAATATAAAATAAATAAAATATTTAAACGAAATGTTCCAACGACATTTTCGAATCTGTGTCAACATTTTGCATAATCTCTGACACCGGCGAAAGTGCGGAGAAGTTCGTAAGGGACGACGTGTCTACCGAAAAAAAGTGGCGTCCAAAAGGGCCCTCGGCAGACACCCCAACACGAAACACGTGACGAGCACCCTAGAACTTTGATGGCCGGCTGAGGGGTTTTTCGACCTTTTCGCACATACACACCACGCGCGCGCTTTCAACGGAACATGCTTCAAGTAGCAATCGATGTCCATTTTGTAGCCAGTGTTACGTGATACTCGACCATTCAAAAGACGACAGAACACGCATTGTTCGGCGTGTGTCGTGTGTAAACGTCGCGTAAGTTTCATCATCGATCCTGCTGATTGATCGATCGCTTTAAATCGGTAAATTCCTGTCGATCGTGAATTCCATTTATTTTATAATAGAATGACAGAAAAATTCGACGAACTCGCGAATCGACCAGTTTCGAAGTTTCCTGCACGCGTTTGCAGGTATAAAATCGGGCGATAAATATCTTCGGCAATAAAGAAACGTCTCGATTTGCAATGTAAATAATTCCGTTTGTCAAGCACTGTTTATCGATCGCTGTTCAGTTATTACTAAATATTAAATTAATTTATATATATGTATATATATATATATATATATATATATAATTAAATTATATATTATATATATAATTAAATTATCAATTAGACATTGATATTGACAATTAGACATTAGATATTGATATTGACAATTAGACATTGATATTGACAATTAGACATTAGATATTGATATTGACAATTAGATATTAGATATTGATAATTAAATTATCAATTAGACGCGTAATTATTTGACGTCCCGCGTCGGTGTTCGACCGGTTCGCAAACATGGCTACCATCGAACGTGTCAGTTTTATTCGTTGTCGACAATTCTAACAATTTTATATAGAACAAATTTCAACGATCTAAAAGAAAGGTTTCGTTTCATTCTTAGTTCTCGATCCATGATTAACACTTTAATGGTCTACGCGTCTAATGGTCAAACGTCTCCAGAGGTCAGCAATATTTAAATTCATGAAATAATTCAACACGCGCGAACGTACACATAAAACAAAAACCAGCAACAAACAATAACAACACATTTAATACAACAAATTTAATATTTAATATTTTATTAAAGCAATCGCCTGCACAATGATCAAAACGTCGCGCGCGAGCGGCCATTAAAGTGTTAACGTTGTAACAACAGCCGAAGCTTTCTACGTCCGCGTTACAATTTCGTAATCCGCGTACGAAACCAAAAAATTCCTCGGAATCGTGTTTCAATTTCGTGATATCGTTGATCGCGCGACGAGAAAATCTCGCGAACGGGAGNCAATTAGACATTGATATTGACAATTAGACATTAGATATTGATATTGACAATTAGATATTAGATATTGATAATTAAATTATCAATTAGACGCGTAATTATTTGACGTCCCGCGTCGGTGTTCGACCGGTTCGCAAACATGGCTACCATCGAACGTGTCAGTTTTATTCGTTGTCGACAATTCTAACAATTTTATATAGAACAAATTTCAACGATCTAAAAGAAAGGTTTCGTTTCATTCTTAGTTCTCGATCCATGATTAACACTTTAATGGTCTACGCGTCTAATGGTCAAACGTCTCCAGAGGTCAGCAATATTTAAATTCATGAAATAATTCAACACGCGCGAACGTACACATAAAACAAAAACCAGCAACAAACAATAACAACACATTTAATACAACAAATTTAATATTTAATATTTTATTAAAGCAATCGCCTGCACAATGATCAAAACGTCGCGCGCGAGCGGCCATTAAAGTGTTAACGTTGTAACAACAGCCGAAGCTTTCTACGTCCGCGTTACAATTTCGTAATCCGCGTACGAAACCAAAAAATTCCTCGGAATCGTGTTTCAATTTCGTGATATCGTTGATCGCGCGACGAGAAAATCTCGCGAACGGGAGAAGCCACCGCGCGTACTTGCAGAAGCTACGAGCGAAAGCGCAGCCCCTAAATCGGCAGCTACTTGAACCATGCGTCCCGAAGGTGCGCGTATAAAAATGATCACGTAAAAAAGGAAAGAGAAACTAGAGAAAATGCTAGGTGAAACCGAGGACGAGACAGGAAAGACCAGACGAAACGACACGCGACGACAACGACGACAACGACGATAACACACAAGTTCACCCGAATGAAACGAACGTTCGAGGCCAAGAGGATGACGCGGACGTCTCTGTCTATTTCTTGACCCCTGCATGAAACCGATTAGGATCGGGCCAGAGCGATACGGACGAGGCGATGGCGACGGCAGCTCTTCTGCGGAACAAACCGAGCCCCGGCTCCACGACCCTGGAGGACGTCCTTGACTCCCTCCTCGGGCTGCCATCCGCGTCGCGTACCCCGAGTCCTGGGCCAGGACCAGTTACGACTGGCGCATCCGCCTCCATGCGGCATCGAACTAACGTCGGCCAGGCGAATGCGAAAGCCGGGAAGAGCTGCAGCGACCTACGCCAAGACCTCCAAGGTAGGAGGACTATGTAAGTTTTCGTTCTGAGGCAGATCCTCTCGAGGGACTCGAGAGTGCTCAAAAACCTAATCTACTCTGCTCCCACGAGCTCTATGTGTGTATGTATGTCCTGCGTGTCTGTGTCTGTGTCTGTGTGTGTGTGTGTCACAGTGTCCTGTGTGCTCGCGGGTCCACCGGACACCCATCGATCGGATGTTAACGAGGCGCGAGGAATTTGCAACGATTTCTTTCTTTTTTTTTTTCTTATCGTCGATCGTATTTGCAGCGACGCGTTCGACGACTCGACCCGCGTTATTCGACGCAGGTTCTTCTATTGTCGCGTTCGGCTGCTCTTCGAGTCTCTTTTCGATCTACGTGATCGTGATTAGCGGGCAGACATCTTCGCGCGAAATTGCAATTTTGCTACGAGCTTTTGCGAGAGATAAAAATTCGATGGATAGGAATCGTTTTCGATCATTTTGACGAGTCGGGCACGGTGTAACAATGCTATTGAGTTTCATTATCATTCGGTTGGAACGTGCGATTCAGCTTCTAATTCGGCCGAAAGATGCGATTTAGCTTCTAATTCAGCTGAGGTGCACGATTTAGCTTCAAATTCGGACGAAACGTATGATGGAGAATCAAATTCGGCTGAAATTTTTGCGATTTAGTGTTAAATTCATTCCGAACTTGTGATAATTAGCTTCAAATTCAGCCGAAAGATGCGATTTAGCTTCAAATTCAGCCGAAAAATACGATTTAGCTCCAAATTTAACTGAAACTTGACTTGCGATTTAGCTTCAAATTCAGCTGGAACTTGCGATTTAGCTGCAAATTCAGCCAGAACTTGCGATTTAGCTTCTAATTCAGCCGAAAGATACAACTTAGTTCCAAATTCAGCTGAAACCTGAATTGCGATTTAGCTTCTAATTCAGCCGGAACTTGCAATTTACCTTCTAATTCAGCCGAAAGATGCGATTTAGCTTCAAATCCAGCCAAAACTTACGATTTAGCTTCAAATTCAGCCGAAACATACGATTTAGCTCCAAATTCAGCCTGAACCTACGATTTAGCTTCATATTTCAATCGCGCGTTTTCGCCGTAAATGCGTAAACTCCGCAGTCTACTAATCAGGCAAAATGATTAACGATTAACGTCTACCGTAATGTCCACGAATGTCCGCGAATCGACGCGGTCAATGAACCGCCGCGATTAGGTAATTGTTCTCGGCGTCGCGCGGAAGGGATTAAAATTGAATGTACGCGCAACAGCCTCGCAAGGGAAATTAATAATTCATGAGCGAAATGGATCCGGAGCGTTCGTTGAAAATTCATAAGACGTAATTTGAATATACGCGATATACAGGACGGTGATAACGCTAATCGGCGGGAGAATCTATTTTTAGGAGCCCGAGGCAATCGTGCCGCGATTCGATAACATTTTTACGCGGCGGCGAACGCGCGACAATTAGAAAGGATTTGCCCGGTTTGTAGCTCCGAAAGAAATTTCTCTGCCGCGTTGCTCGCAACATTGTCCGCGCAATTTCGGTGATCATGCCAGCGTGACATTTACACGTTAACATCTGAATCATGGGTCCGTCATGCGTCTATGTCGTTCCCAGTTTGAAAGCGCTCCGATTGTGTTTCTCTTCGCCTCGTTCCCATTTACCCATCACAGGCACCTCTCTCTCTCTCTCTCTCTCTCTCTCTCTTTCTCTCTCTCTTACTTTCTCCAATTTTTCCTAGCATCAATTATTCGACGATCGTTCGATTTCCTCTCATTTCGTCATTGCCAAGGACGGTGTCCGTGTTTCGCGCACGTTCTCAGGTAAATTGCATGGTACGTGTGATGATGGAACTTTTAGAGATACATATTCTGCTCGTCTCGAAAACGGGAGCACACGCTGCATTTTCATTGGAAACGTATTAGACGTAGGAAGCGAGTCGAAATTGATGCTGAACTGGTGAACGCTGGAGAAATGGAAAGGAACAATTAAATATCGGCGAACTTAATCTCAGCTGATATTTTCGCAATTGTATACGAAAGAATTTTGTATCGTTTTACCAATAAATATCGCGTGCCAAGGAAATATGCACGTTTGGTATGTACGAGTAGAGTTTAGTATGCAAAAGTCGTTTTTTAACCAGATGGCAATCAAGCGGCGACGAGTATACTCGTCGTGACGATAAATAATGCTACATCTCTGTGACGAGTATACTCGTCTTGACAGAAATTCTGCTACATCTGCGTGACGAGTATACTCGTCGTTACACAAAATACTGCCATATTTGTATGACGAGTACAGTCGTCATTACACAAAGTACTGTCATATTTTTATGACGAGTATATTCGTCATTACACAAAATACTGTCATATTTTTATGACGAGTATATTCGTCATGACAGTAATTCTATCGCATCTCCATGACGAATATACTCGTCATGGCAGAAATCCTGCCACATCTCCACGACGAGTATACTCGTCATTGCACAAAATACTGCCATATTTCTATGACGAGTACACTCGTCGTAACACAAAATACTGCCACACCTCTATGACGAATATACTCGTCATTACACAAAATACTGCCAATATTTCTATGACGAGTATACTCGTCGTGACACAAAATACTACTACTTCTCCACGACGAGTATACTCGTCATTACACAAAATTCTGCCACATCTCCATGACGAGTATACTCGTCGAACACAGCCAACTGGTTAACAGATAGGTTTTAAATTCTTGGACGTTCTTCGTGATTTCTCGAGTAATATTTTGCAAACGTAATTTAACCTGTCCAACTTAACTATCCATTAGATTACTGTTTTAAAATAATTAAAGCATCGCTCTCGAATATAAATTCGACTAAATTCTTTCGTTCGACGCCACCAAATTTCCATTTCGACAGATCGCCATCGAGTCCGTCCATCGGACGACCAGATTGCGGATCTTCGTGTACGATAGCACTTTTTCGTTCGCGAAAGCGAGCGTTTCGTTATAAATTGAAACAAAATTAGTCCCTAGAATATACAGGGTGTCTCAGGTTTTAATGTTTAAGCTTTGTCAGTATATTCTATGGCAATAATATATTATAATATAATATATTATTATTATATTATATTTATTATATATATTAATTATAATATATAAATATAATAAATATATAATATTTATATTATATTATATTATATAATTATAATATATTATAATATATATTCTATGGCATTCTATGGCACAAAGTAAGAAAAAAATGTTATGTAAATGTAGGACATATAGAGAGCTTTATTAAGAAGTTATAACAAAAATTCAGAATAGGAATAGTAATCAACTTGCTGTTACTGCGAGCATTGGCTTGAATAGATCAGCACATGCCGTGTGTTTATGTAAGCTGTGTTTATTAATACATTTCGAAATGTATTAATAAACACAGCTTACATAAACACACGGCATGTGCTGATCTATTCAAGCCAATGCTCGCAGTAACAGCAAGTTGATTACTATTCCTATTCTGAATTTTTGTTATAACTTCTTAATAAAGCTCTCTATATGTCCTACATTTACATAACATTTTTTTCTTACTTTGTGCCATAGTATACACTAACAAAGTTCGAACATTAAAATCTGGGACACCCTGTATAACAAACCATCGACCAAACATAACAACCTTGACATAACCTTGACATAACATTTTCCGTGCACGTAGACCGCAATCCGCGCACAGCAGATCGTAACACCGTACAGAGAATCGAAGATAGAACACCGTGAAACGTTGACACCGTTGCATGGAACGACCCGCCAGGAGATCTCGTGGAACCTTATCGCATCCACGGCCGAGACGTCGCCTCACGTCGACGCGTTTTCGTCGACGAGATCGCGAAATGCTAGAGAAATCGACGCGAGCCGGACACAGCAGCTCGAGTGGAAAATTCTCGGTCGAAGGGGATGCGACGGGGTTGAAGAAACGGGGTTCTCCGGTCACGCGAACACGCCGTCGCGCTCCCGAGTCTTCCTCCTCGGCCATCGCCTGAACCTCATACATGTTGTCACAGCGTCATGATCGACGATCATCGGCATAAACGAAACGAGAAACGAAAGGAAAGAAAAAAAAGCGAGCGCGCACAGAGTCGGGCGACGAAGAAGAAAAAGAGAACCGCGGCTCGCGCGAACATTGTTCTCCCTCCCCCCGCACGTGTTCCGTCGCTCTCTCTTTCTCGTTTGTTCTTGAGTTCCACTTACGTTGTTTTACACCTTTGCAGAGAAGAGACACGGCGTCTGAAGTTCGGGGAGGCGGAATCGTAGCAGTATCTCGCCTCCCCCGAATACAGACGTCTCGATCCGAGGCTTATCGATCAGAGACGAATTTAGCGGTGCCGAAACTGGCCATTCTGGGACCCGGAGAGCTAATTACATTTATGACGACGAACCGCCGCAAAACTCCGAAGACGCGAACGATTTAAAAGTCCGAGCACATTCGTAAGGCATTTTTTCAAAGTTCTCGTCCTTCGTTCAGTCTGTTCTATGTTTTCTTCCTTCGATCGTATCTCTTTGTTTTCTTTCTTATTTCTCTCTCTCTCTCTATCTCTCTCTCTCTCTCTCTGTTTTTATCTAACCGTTGTTGTTTCAATGTTTTTCAATGATTTTTATACATATATATATATATATATATTTATCTATGTATCGAATATACGATGTGTACTCTTTGTTGTTTTCTTGTACAACTCGTTTTCCCGGATTTTTGATTTTGCACCACGAGCTTCGAAGCCACTCGGGAGGGTGGCACTTCTTTTTTTTTTTGTTCGAAAAAGATGGAACGAAGGAAATCCGTTTCCGTTTTTCACCGCACATTAAACTGATTCACGACCACCCGTCGGTAGATGTTGGGTAAAATTTGGACGGTGTCACCTAACTAACACCGCCGTCACTCTGGCTGAAACCGTCACGGTGATCATTCTCTCATTCCATGTATTAACACGACATCGCTTACATCGTCACGTTTCATCATTTCGCTTCCGCGACGGTCCGACGTACCGATATCGTTTGCGAGGCTACGTATTGCGCGAGACAGATCGTAGAATCGGAGACGTTTCCGTCGAACGAACTTGTCCAATTAATTCATTTGTTCGCGCAGTTTTCTTATCGTCGCGTTCGGCTGCTCTCTATCTTCGAGTCTCTCTTCAAAGATCTCTGCGAACGTGATCAGCAGACTGCGGATCATCGCGCGAAATAATGATTTTCTAACGAGCTTGTGGGAGACAAAAGAATTCGATACAAATGAATCGTTTCTTTTAATATAGTAATTTTGATGAAAGTCGAAAACGATACAACGATGTTGTTACATTCTTCATGTGTCTTCGTTGTTTCATGTTTCAACTACACGTTTTTGTCGCAATTGCGTGAAATTCGCAGTCTAGTGATCGGGAAATGATCCGCGTTTTTTTTACGGTTGAGTGTGCATCGATTTCTATGGAATAATCGACGGTGATCGCTTTTTAAGAGATTCTATGATCTAGATTTTCAAGTCACGTTAATTCACTCTATCGTTGACAAACTTTTTGAGAAATCGACGCGTTCCTGTCGAACGTACCAAATCAACAATGAAACACATTTTTATGTCATTGTGCTTGGCTGCTCTATTATTTCGAGTCTCCTCTGACATGATTTTATTTATTACAGAATGATCTATAACTTTGATCATAGTTGATTAGCGCGTAACAATTTTGTAATAAAACCGCGGTGATAAATTGTCAAAGAGACTCGAAGAACCAAAGATTTGAAAATGAATCCTATTGTTAACTAAAACACAGTTTTCTCAAAACGTTGTTATACAGGGCGACCCATAATTATGTTAACACTTGGGAGAAAGTGATTCCTGAGGTGATTTGAAGTAACTTTTTCCTCGGCGAAAATGCAATCCGCGGTTTCGTTTACGAGTTATTAACGAAAAACACTGGCCAATCGGAGAGCGAGCGCGACCAGCGCTCCATCCCTTCGGCCAACGCCGCGTCGCGCCGGCCGTCTGACGCAAGGGCAGTGGTCGCGAGGGCGGGGCGTCAGGCGCACGCGGTCTCTCATTGGCCATTGGTTTTTCGTCGATAACTCGTCAACGACGCCTCGGAGAAAATTTTCGTTAAGGAAAAAGTTGCTCCAAATAACCTCAGGAACCCCCATCTCTGGATTACGAGACATTTCTCGAGCACCCTGTAGCACCTCGAGCAGCTGAATGCAATACGTAACAATGGAGCACCAAATTCTCGCGTAAAATCGCGTTCTCGACGAAGCGATCATCAAAACCAAAAGCATCAAAAAATCGAACACTCTCGACAGCCCTTCAGCCATGAACAACGACATCTCTCGGGAACGCATTCGACGATATCTGTCGCAAACACGTGGACAACCGCGGTCCCGAAGAAACGTCTCTCAGAAACCCGTAAGAACGGGATTGCAAACGATAGTAACCCGGTATAGCTCGGACCGCGAGCACGACCCAAATCCGAAAACGATGCCCCGAAACTCCTGACAATCCTTGTTATTGCCGACTGTCGCAGAGTCCGCTAGGAGCGTGATGGACATGCAGGGCGCGACGGAGGACCGTGGCTCGCACTACACGGGTGAGCTGGTCAGACGGAAGAGCGAGGGCAGCGACACGATCCCCTCGAAGATGTCGACGATGCAGATGTCGAGGGGCGGGCCGCTGCGTTCGCGGCGGGTCTCGTTCGACAACACCCAGGAGGCGAACGGCCTGGCGGCGGGCACCGCGGCCGAGAAGGTGGTCCGTTGCCGTAACAACAAGTGCAGCAACACGGCGAGCCTGGCCGACGCGCGGAAGACCTACAAGAGCTGCCACAACTGCACCTGCCTCTACTGTTCGCGGGAGTGCAGGAAAGCGCACTGGCAGCGTCACCGGCGCACCTGCCTGCACTCGCGGGCCGGCAGCCTCTGCAAGCAGGTGTTGTCCTCGGCGAAGGAGGACCCGATCACGCTGAAGCACATCTCCGCGCTGGCGAAGCGGGGCCACGCGTCCCACGGCCGCGGGGCCGTCAAGTGCTTCTTCTCGAGCCCGGAGGCCGCGGAGAAGTTCATCGCGAACGGGTTCGTCGACCTCGGCAAGCCGACCTACATCCGCTGGTCGGACCTGCTCGCCAGCGAGATGGGCGCCGACCTTTACGCCGAGGTGATCAGGCTCTGCAAGTCGTACAACCCGGACACCAGGCTGGTGCTCTACGTGGCGGTGTGCGTGGTCAGCGAGGTGCCGACCAGCGGGGCCGTGAAATGGGAGCGGCAGCTGGTGTCCAGGTGCGCGAAGATCCACCTGGACTCGGCCAGCAGGCACCACACCTCCTCGTCGTCCGCCTCGCCGCAGGGCAGGCAGCAGTCCGCGTCGCCCTGCAACATCACCAGGGAGATGGAGTCCCCGGAGATGCTGGTGTTGACCTCGTTGCCCGGCAACGACGGCCAGAACACGCCGCAGAGGATCAGGGAGATCAGCTTCACGAACATCCAGAGGCAGCTGAAGCTGCGCGGCGTCTCCCTGAGGAGGCACTTCCCGCAGGTGTACAAGAAGCTGCGCGCCTACGTGGACGGCACCGTCGACAAGTTCGCGGCCGTCACCATCTATCCGCGGGACCAGGCGTCCGGGAAGAGCTTCATGTGCATCATCATGCTGGACGTGGAGCCCGAGCGACTTCAGCTGCTCCCGACCGACTCGTCCAGGGTCCGGACGGTCGACATCAGCGTCGAGCAGGAATGAACGCTGAGATATGGACGCGCCGTTATCCGCTTCAGAACGATTTTTTACTACATTCAGTAGGACTCTGCTGGTCCGGGAGTAATAATGGTGTGGCGATGATAAGTGTTCTTGAGAGGAGGAGGGGGAGGAGGAGGAGGTCCTTTCGCGGCGTCGGTCTGCCAACGCCTTGTAGTCTGTGGGCGAGAGACTGCCGAAGAGAGACGAAGCGTCGACGCGCGGATTCAACATTAATACGAGGGCCGTTGAACGATCAACGAGGTCCATGGAAGTCGACCTGGACCAACGAAACATGTCCGTGGACATGGTCGGACTTTGTTCGCTGCCGAATCTCTCTCGCCTTCGCTCGAACCGGGATTCGGTCGTCCACTTGCGGCTTAGCGGCGAGCTCTCGTGCACGTTGGACTCGCGCGGAGAACCCGTTGACCCCTTGACATGCGAATGAAACGGGATTTGACGCGACCGAATTCAAAATACTGTTTAATTTGGTTTAACTGAACGGTTATCTGCGAGCTGAGAGAGAGAATGTTTCATTTTGAAATTTGGATTACTGGTTTGTGGGTGCAAATTTGTTATCGGTACTGTTGAGAAGAAGGGAGGGTGGGTGGGGGGGGGGGGGGGCTNGGGGGGGGGGGGGGGGGGGGGGGGGGGGGGGGGGGGGGGGGGGTCATTGTGAACGAACCAGAAGCGACGCGCCAGTGAAGCAATTAAGTAATCCAATAATACAGGGAGACCCAAGATTATGGCATTTCCGGGAAGCGAGGGATTCCTGAGGTCATTTCAAGTAAAAAGTACAAAAATTTTCTCCGCGGCTTCGTTTACGAGTTATTAACGAAAAACAGTGACCAATCGGAGAGCGAGCGCGGCCAGCGCTCCGCCCCTTCGGCCAATACCGCGTCGCACCGACCGTCCGACGCAGCGGCAATGATCGCGAGGGCGGAGCGTCGACCGCTCGCGATCTCTCATTGGTCAGTGTTTTTCGTTGATAACTCGTCAACGACGCGTCGGAGAAAATTTTTGTAAAGGAAAAAGTTGCTTCAAATGACTTCAGGAACCCGACATTTCCCGGAAGTACCATAATTTTGGGACACTCTGTATACTGCGCGGCGTTCGCCGAAAATAGCTCTTTACGAATTACGCTCGTCAGAGTCTGCGATAGCACATGAAGCGATCGACGGCCCCCACTCGTCGTTGTATGTCAAGGGGTTAATCTCTCCGATCGGCTCGATTATGGTCGGCCGATGACCATCGGCTTCGCGCGAGCACTCGACGAACCGGCATCCCGGCGTCTATCAATTTCGTTCGCAGACCCCGCCGAACGGACCTTGGAGCACTCCTCCGATTGCTTACATAGATCAAAAGGAAATTCCTCGATTTGGTTGTTGCTCTGTCAGATGTTTATTGATTACCACGGTCGTCGAGGCTGTACAATAAGGCAGCGGTTCCTCGTTTTTCAATGCTCAAGAACGTTTTATTCTCTCCCGTGCTCTCTATTTTCTCGCGATTTCAACCCCTCGCGGCTACGATCTCTGTCGTTGCTGCGTCGATTAGCGCTGTTGTACGATATTTGTTTTGAAATACTCGCTGTAAATTCGCGAGGCGGACTCGTCGCGAGGATTCTAGCAATAATTTGAAGGATGGTCTTTTAAAGCGGAATAATATTGGCACACAATAATATATGAATATATATAATAATAAGTATATTAGTACTATTATATATAATGGTATTGTTTTAATTATATTATTAGTATATTAATAGTATTATTATTTAATATATATTATTGCGTGCTAATATTACACATATATATTATATTATATTATATTATATTATATTATATTATATTATATTATATTATATTATATTATATTACATATATATTATATATATATATATAAAATTATATTATATTATATATATATATATATATATATATATATATATATATATATATATATATATATAAATAATAAATATGTATAATATAGTTGAAACCTTCCAAATCCCAATTTGTCATTGTCCATTNAAATATGTACGTATTCTCTTTTTCTTTCTAAAAAATTGTTACAATCAAAAAGCCTCTATGTACCTGTTGCAACTGTGCAGATAATAGCATGACAACGTGTTAGCAGCGTCCCCGATAGAACTGGACAGTTTTATTATGTCTCGATTATTTTTATCTCTCTATTTATCTGTATTATTTTTATCTCTAAGCTCTGCGCGAATCACGCTCACATTTAATAGTACGAAATCGTCGCGACGAGTCCGATTCCTCGCAACAGCGCATTCATTCGCTTTCGCGTCGTTTGTTCATTCCGTCATTTCGGAGCATTCGTTTCCGCAAAAATTAATCGATCGAAGCCGCGAACGCCGCCGAGAAGCGCGACGCGTTAGAAACGGCGGGCCGCTTGGATCGTCGCAAAAACCACGATGTTCCGAAAACATTTGCGTGTCATTCTCGATTCTCTCATTCGTTCGGATCTGTAACTTACGTCCTAGTCGCGCTGTATCGCGTATTCGAGATAAGCGAGACATCGCAAACCGAACGAGAGATTGTTGTTCTTTTGGACAAAATTTGCGACGTCGACGCGAACGGGGATTCGTTTTTATCCGGCGAATCAGCGACAGAGCCGGCTAATTTCTGTCTCGTCACCGACGGTGTTTCTGGCGCAATTATTATTCGTGCACCAGTTTTTGTTCAATGACGCGAGATCGATCCTCGAACGGAGGCAACCGCTGGCCGTGTGAAACGAATCAAACGCTCAGACACACTCGACCGATCGTTTTCGAAAGTAACGACGAATAAGTATCTTGTTGTCCTTTCGTTCGGTTTAACGTAGTTACGGTTGTATATTTTGAATTTTATCGTATATATAATATATATATAAATATTATATATATTATTATATATATAATAATATAATTATATATAATATTTGTACATATATATATTATTATACATATATTATATTATATATATTATTATTATTATTATTATTATTATATTATTGTACATATATATAATATTATATAATACATATATAATATATATTATAATATTATATTATTATATATATAATATATGTTATAATATTATATTATTATATATATAATATACGTTATAATATTATATATATATTATATATTATAATATTATATATATATATATATATATATATATATATATATATATATAATAATAATATATATATAATTATATATATAATATAAATTATAATATTACATATATAATATATGTTATAATATTATATATATAATATATATTATAATATTATATATATAAAGATTAAAAGTCTCC